ATAAAACTATATATAACTATGTAAAAGAATATAAAAACTATATAAAAAGGTATAATACTACATAAAACTGTATAAAACTATATAAAATTAATATATATATATATATATATTAATTTGTAACAGGTAACAAGGAAATACAAAATGTATTACTTGGATTACTTATATACAAAAAAAGTAGCAATACGAGGTACATGCGTCTGAAAAGTTGACCGCGTTTCGTCACATTGTGAGTGCACCGTAAGTGGTCCGTATCGTTGAAATGCGCTGAGTGTTTCCGACATGAAATCTGAAGAGCGCGAAAGCGGCGCGTGGGACTCAGACGTGGGACTTAACACATTGTTAACCGGCAGTTTTACGCAGAAGCTATGCTATGTCACCGGTTATTATTCCGTAATTAAATAGGGAAGTGAAACAATCTGAATAAGCTTCAATATACGGTCAAACCTATTTTCGTGCGGTCCTTTTCTATGTGATTTTTTTTGTGCGATTTTTTTTATGCGGTACATGAATTCCAACGGTGTTGTTGTTTTTCAAGTGACGAAATCGACTTTGAACCAGTTCATCGCAAGAAGATGCGCGTTTTGGACTACAACCAAAATTTCCCCATGTATGGGAAATTGAATTTTTTTAAAACGATTCCATGTGTAATTTAATTATTTATTTTGTTTGAAAGCACTTTCTCACTGTTTCGTAAATTTCTGAACATTCTTTTTTATGCGGTCCCTATCTACCGCACAAAAACAGGTTTGACTGTACTTGCTTTTTGATTTGCTGAATCTTCTACTAAATTTGAAATCAATGTTAGATTGGAGCCTGCCTCTGTTCACCGTCACCGACCGGTTTGATCCTGACAGAGTACTGTCCCCGTCGATCCTTGAAACACGTGCTGGAGAACGACGCCATTAAGCTTAACTGGAACTTTCAAATGTCTCTAATTCACGATATAGTCAAGGTAGAACAGGTGTTTAATTATTTATTTTGTTTGAAAGCACTTTCTCGCTATTTCTTAAATTTCTGAACATCCTTTTTATGCGGTTTCTTTTACGCGGTCCCTATCTACCGCACAAAAACAGGTTTGACATCTTTATTGTATGTAATGAATTGAAACGAAACCTCGAGCATATCTTTTAAATAAATTGAACACTTTACTTTTGCAATATTCTTCACTGCCCTGCGCTTCAAAAATTGAAATAGTCAATGCTAGTGCGAGCACAAGTTAACTCGTGACCGGTCAACAATGCGTTAACCCCTTGCCGTACAATGACGAGTCAGACTCGCGATGAAGATTTCTAGAATACTTTAACAACAATCGATGTTACTCATTGCCCACGGATCAAAGCAAACAACTACTTTGCTATTATTATTGTATTATCTTCAAATAAAATTTCCACTTGAAGTAGAATGGACAGTTTTGTTGCATTTCTTTCAAATTGTCGATAGTAAAATGGTACACGAGCTTAGTGGCGAAAGTAAATAGTACGCCAATGGGTTAATCATAAACGGGGAGCAATTAATAATTATACTTTGCCTGCTGGCAAGACGAATGTGACGGGAATGAAATCTAAATAGAGATATTTCCCTGGGCCGTCTCCTCTTTCCGCCAGCGGATTCCCTTCGCGTTCCAGTTCCTTCCGGTACCTTTTGATATTTTTCACCAGCAGGTCCTTCCGCGTGAGCTCGTAATGATTCGGGAAATGATTGATCATCCTGGGGAGAACCGGGCAGCATTTAGGTAATAGCTATTGACATTCATCGCTATTTCGGAAACTAAATAACGTACTGTTTGTCATCCATCCTATATCCGGTTTCCACGCTGAATATAGTTCTACAGGATTGAGTGGCTGCCCTATAATAATAATAATAACAGCTATACAGCCAATATTTCTTCAACCGATTCCATCGATGAAATTGATCTAGCAAGTCTCGTGTTCTTTTCGTTACCAATAGAAATTCCAGTCGTCCTCCGGCCCGACTTGCACCAATCCTCGTTTTTCGAAATTGTGGACTATTATCGATTTGTCAACGTCCGTGCAAAACGCTACCCTCTTGTCCGCTCCGCTGGCAGATATTCTGTATGGAAATAAAGTTCGACGAATTATGGATCGGCGATGATTAAATTCGAATTCAATACGATTTGATTAACATGTTCAGTGTTATGGTCATCGGTGACTCTCAACCAAATCGAATTACTATAGTTCACACAGTTGGCCGTTTGCACTCCAGAAGTTTTTCACCAGAAATATTCAATATTTTCTAATGAGATACACAGACGACATTTTCTCAGATTGAATTAACACGTTGAATGCCATGGGGGTCACCGGTGACCCCCAACCAAATCGAATAACTATAATTCATTGAATTAAACGGTGACTGTTTGAAAACATTTTTATATTATAAATAATGTCACCTAATGCACTGACATTCGACAAGAGAAACATGTTATAACAATAACATAATTCAATTCAATAATTCGATATTATATCTTTTTTCGTTTCCCGTATTTTGCTTCGTGAAATCGTGTGGCGTTCAACGTGTTAAGAAATCTCACATGCATCGAAGAACAGAACTATTTTCATTCAATATTTCGTACATTGATGCATTATACAAAGTTTAATATTAAGTATCAAAGTTTACAGTTTTGCTGTGTCAAATCATTTGGTGACTCAGAGGAGCCTCTGGAGCGCAAAGAGTTAACACGTTGACTGCCACGAGAACCTTAAGAGTTTTATGTATCACTTATTCTTTCTATAGCAAAGATACAAAGCAAAAATTATTAATTCTTTGATATGAAAATTTTTATATTGCCCTATTATTTAGTTATATACGTTATGGAAAATTTGTATTCAAAATCAATTATCTTCCAAGTCATAATTATTTTCTTGTAATTTCAAAGCGTCGGTCATCCGTGACCGCCGTGGCAGTCAAAGTGTTCAACTGTGATTATTTGAAACGATTTGTATATTGTAAATAATGCTACATAATGCGGTGACGTTCAGCTAGATGAACATTCAATAATAATAATGCAATTTAATCGAATGATTTAACATTAGATTTTTCCCATTTTCTGTATTTTTCTCTATGAAATCTTGCAGCACTCAACGTTAACATATACCATATATGGTACACGCGAATTTCGGTAAGAAAATATTTTTAACACGACCGCCATGAGAATTTAGAGCGTTTCGTATAGCATTACTTGTCATATTATAATAGTGGCAAATGGTGTTAGAATTTATTAATGGTTTGGTATCATATTTCTTAAGCTATACTATTATTTAGTTACTCGTCTCATTAAATTACTAAGTTATTTTCATTTTACCTGCCATAATTGGTGGATATACTTAAATTTGCGGTACGTTTGCCTTCAGCGGTAGCACCGGACGCCATAACACACGTAAGTTAAATCGATTCGCCGTGGATACACGGAATTTCAATATTTTGTGATCCTGACTTAATTAACCCTTTGCACTCGACAATATTTTTCATTAAAAATATTCATTACTTTCTGGCTAAATATTAACGATATTTTTCGCAACTAACAATTGATTATCTTCTATAAATTAAGAGACAGAACTATTTTACTTCGATGTTTTATGTGTTGATACGTTACACAAGGTTTAATATTGAATTGAAAGTTTGAAAGTTTGTTGCGTCGAATCAGGTGGCGACTGTAAGACGCCCCACGAGTGCAAAGGGTTAAAGATCAGATGGAAAATCATTTCTGATCGTGTCAGCTTTAAACGGTAAATGTTTGTTTACAATATTTTTCATATTAATTTCAACAGTATATCATGCTAATATTAATTCCTTTCTGTTTCCTTGTATCTATCACTGTTCTATGTTCTTTTTATTATTATAATTATTATCAAGAACAGTAAAACAATAACACTTAATCCTATCCATTTAATTGACAATACTATATTGCTGTACAGGGGATATTAACCCTTTGCACTTGGAAGTTTTACACTAGAAATATTTAAACATTTTTCTTTCAATTTAATTTAACGTTAAATCGACGACTAGGTCATCAGTGACAGAAAATCGTTCGTTTACTTTACTCTAAATTTTGTTATACAGTTTGTACAATCTTACCTTCTCGCCATATTTGCAACAATCGAAATTTTTAATCCGCAAAAAATCAAGCATGCTGTCCAAAATATTTTCCCATTAAATATATATATATATATATATATATATATATATATATGCTTCACGAGAAATGGAATGGATTTTTGGTTATACAATGGATCAATTCATTTGACTTTATCTCGACTACCAGCTGTATTCAAGTCTGTTTACATTTCTCCTATTTCTTTTTCTCGACTGTCTATGTCGAAGTAGGATTCGCATGCCAGAAGCGCGTCAGCGTGTCGACCGGTAGGACGTCTAAAATCGCGCAGTTCTTCTGCAGAGAAAAAAATTCTTCCACGCCTCGTGGAAGCTGGTTTCTCTGCGAGAATGTCTTGTATTTCGTGTTAACAACACTTTTTTTTATCAAGTGTTCTAATTCCTTTAAAACCAGTCCGAAAGAGAGTTACGGTGTTTGGCGTAACGCTGCGTCGCAAGTAACAACAAACACCAACGCACCGTTTGATTACGTCCGAGAGAAATGTGAATCGAGGACGATACGTTTGAATATTACGAGTAAGTAGACTGTGGTGTTTCTGAATTTAAATTAGAAGAAAGAAAAACACGGACGCGTCGGTTTCAGAAGACGAGGAATATCGGCATTGCTTTTTAAACGTTAAATCGGTGATTAATGTGAACGTTTAGGAGACTGTAGTGTGTTTGTAAAGACAATGTCTACGAATGTTGCGATTTTCCTGGGCACCAGGTTTGTAAATTGTTCAGAAGGTTTGTAACTGTTAATCGGCGCGATGTTTTATTAGAGCGCACGGCGAATTAGCCATTAGAAATCGGACAACGGGAACGCAAGTGGTACTTTGGTCAGTCGGAAATTAAACGCGGCATAAGAGTACCAAAGGCGTCACGAATAGAACAGAATGAGTCACGTTCGCACGTAGGAATTTGTGTCATGAATTTACGATTCGAAGTGTAGTACGTTTGTTAAGGAACCGTTTATGGACAGAGGAATGTATGGTAGAAAGTATCTAATTAATTAAGCAATGTATTTTTCTCTGTTCTGTTTGGATGAGTGTTGAATGTATATAATTATAGTAGAACAAGTAGTTTCTTATATATTTTGTGTTATTTAATAATAATTATTGTTTATGAATAATTGGATCAACTGATTATGTTTACATGCTCAGAATGCATTCCAGTCCGAGCCCCGGAAAGGTGAATTCTCCAAGAATAGCCAGGGGCAGAGGAATAGCTGTCAGTACTTTGATCCCCGACAAATGTCTCTGCTACAGGCCTCATTGTTTCGTGCTATGCAATGTTTGTGGATATTGGACAAGGGGCAGAGTACGATACTTCTGCCCCGTTCACCCACAGGTTTGTTTCTTTGAGTCAGTACGTTATGGACAATGTATAATACGGAAGAATGTTCTGAATATCTAGTTGATCTTGTCATTTATTAATGGTATGTGTGATAGTTATCTTTCTGTTTGTTTTTGTTTCTTTTCAGACAGTCTTTTTGTTTGATATTGCACAGTGTCCACAGTGCAAATCGTATGGGTTTATGTTGACTGAGTTTTAAAGCTAGTTAAGTAAACGTCTACCAAATACTTATGCTTTAAATATCTATAATATGAATATTATTTGTTATGTTACAAGAACATAATATTTATTGCAAAATACCTTTTATTTGTGTTATATATCTATCAAAAATGTAGTTTATTTTTCTATGAATATGAAGTACCAGTATTAAGTTAATTAATGTAAGGTTAATGAGTGGATGATATGCAGATTAAATAAATTTTATTTTTATTTGCAATGTGCACAAACTTATTATATTCTAAACCAAGAGGGCATACTTGGTATTTGATTTTCTCCTATATATTTATTATATTCCTCTTCTGTTTCTTTCTGCATCTTCTCCTTTGTCAATTCGTCATCTGATGGTTGGCTCAACTCCGGAAAAGTGAACTCCTCACCTTTTTTCTGCAAATATGAAGAATATATTAATTTCTGACAAGCATAATCCACTTGGATTTACTTATACTTACCAAAGAAACAAAAGCTACTTTCACATCATCGTCTTTAACAATACATTTTTGATATCTACACATTCTCGTTTTTCCTTGGGAAATTGTGGTCCTAATATGAGCCGGGAATACATTATAAATTTTTTCTAAATAATTACGAACATCATGAGATGTCATTTCCATTGAACAATGAAATACAACTACATTCTTTGGCTGTGGTATTTTACATTTAACCAGTTTCATCCAAAAGTTGGGAAGGAATACTCTAAGCTGTGGATCACCTGCTTGATATATACGATACCTAAAATCGATGAATTGACGTCAATCAGTAAAAAGTTCTTAACAGAATTCTATTAATATATACGATTCATTTATGTATACCACTTATTACTTTGCAGTATACCTACCATCGTGTAGACATTTTGTGACTCTTATATTACAATACTTAGATTTATTTGATTATCCACGACTGCTTTATTCTAAATATATATTTAAACTATATTAGATAGCAGTAGAAAGTCTCTTTAATTTAAAACCCAACAAAATAACCTCACACTTGCGAACATATTAGTTCATGTTTACATTTTTGAAGCCATCTAGCGGTTGTATCTATAAATAAACTCGAACATTCTTGTACTTCCATCTACAATGAAACGTTGAACTATTACTAACGTGTTCATCAGTAATGAGTACTTCGTACTAATTGGCCAGAAGTTTGAACGAGTTCTCATTATGTGGCGCCACTAATCCTGGATAAGGAACTGAGATTTTTAAAAATTATTTTTTTTTTAATTATTATCTTAACGGCTTTGTAATAAATTATACACCGCTATTCTGCTTCATTAATGAAATATCTAATAAATATTTAATAAAAATCCCAGTTCCTTATCCAAGATTAGTGACGCCACATAGTATGAGACTGCTCAAACTTCTAGCCAAATGGTACCAGATTACCCCCGCTAAGTGGCGCCACTAAATTAATTATCTCTGTTCTTGTCTTACTCATTACAGGAATAGGGAAGATACACTTGAACTGGAAGTTAATTATCATAAATATCAACACTGTGTATCTAAGATATGATGGACCAAAACATTAATTATTAGAAAAGAAATGTAAATGAAGGTTTAAATAATTAAAAATGCCTTCGAAGCCTAAACCGGTATATTCTGTTTGTCTTACTTCATCAGTACTGATAATCAAACATATGTTGGACATCCTAACCTTATATGTAACGAGTAACTGTGATTTATATTTCCAGAACAAGAAGAAGCAAACGAACCCTAAGAAAAATGTCGCGCCAGCAAAAGTTGGGAGTGCAGGAGGTAGTTCTGAACATAAAAATGTAGAAACTTCAAGTGGGTTAACGCAAGAAGCTGAAGATCAGTTTGAACTTGAATTATGTTGGTGTATTCAACAATTAGAAACGTGTCTGGCTACTGGCAAGCTTCCAGAGAAGCAGACACAGGATTTGAATAAGAATATAAACATTTTGAAAAGCAACACAGCACCTTTGGTTAAAAAGAGGCAAATAATGAGGAACAGTTTAGGGGACTACAGAGAAAAAATGGCTTTAGATCAGCAGAAGCATGGTAAATCAGCGTCTTCATTGAAGTTCGTGTCCACATCCAAACAAAATGAAAAATGCCTGTTTGTTAAAAAGGCAGCTTGCAACATAACAAAACTAAAGAAAGACGCCAATAACGATGTTGTATCTTCAAATGCAAATAATAATTCCAACAATGATACGGAGACTGAATTTAAATTTAATTTTCAAATTACAGAATAAATGTATATTTTGTAAATACCTGTGTGTATAATCGTCTGTAGTTTAATTTTCGTTATCATCGATTTTCATTTATATTGTATTCTACTTTTCATAAATAAATACTTGTGTGTCTTACACATCACTTAGAATGTAGCATAGGCACGAAATTTCAGTTATCAGAATAGTAACATATTCCTAAAGTATCAGATTTATATTTTAATTATAACAATTCAAATGTTAATTACAATGAAATATAAGAAGTTTATTTTGAGTTGTTAGCACTCCATTATATCCAAGAACATTAAATGTTTTAGTAACGTGGTCCTGTGGCGCAACGGATAACGCGTCTGACTACGGATCAGAAGATTCCAGGTTCGAATCCTGGCAGGATCGTAGCAAATTTTTTTCATGAAAAACTTTTTGATCAAAACAAAATACAGATGATTATTAATACTTCAGCTAATCCAACAAGATTTATATAAAATTAATAACGCAAAGAAATTAATTAAAAAGGACTTAATGGAAAAACTATCAGGAATCGACAAATAAAAACGATTCGAATTCGCGAGTGTCAGAATGAGGTTTGATCGCGAAGAGGCGAAGGTACGAAATTAAAATGAAAATCCAGTTACGTAAATAAATATTATGTTATGATATATGTAACAACCAGTCGTAACAAAGGTATTTCGTCTCTCTTACGTACTTATTAGCAACAGAACAGCACTCTTTATCGTATGGTACAAGCTGGAATCTGTATGTAACTATATGTATATATAATATATACATATAGGATGTCCCAAAAGTCTATCGCAATATTTTAATAAATCCATCATTAAAGTTGCGGTTAAAAAGTAATGGTCTCGAAACGATCGCTGGCGATGTGTATACGTTCGGCATTTTCTCTTCTGGCATTCCCAGAATCGTACAACGAAAATCAACTTTCTTTCTCGTCCCCATATAAAAAGAAAAATCTTAAAAAAAAAAGACACATCTACGTGTACCAGTGAACACGCGTGAAAATCTAAAACCACGATGATATGGGTATGAAACT